GAGTGTTCTCAGCCCGTGCTTCATTTATGTAGGGAAAAAGGAAGCAGGGCATTAAGGTGGCCAAACCCCAGAAATATGTTTCCACTGGAAGGGATAAGGCAGCACGGTGCCATAGAGAGAACACAGGACTGGAAATTCATCAGATTTGTGTGTCCGATCTTCAACAGTAAGATGGAGATAATAATACTAATTTTCAGAATTATAAGAATGAGCAATAAAGATTATTTCTGCATCTATATACCTTTTCCTGATACGTATTAACTGCTCCATCAAAACTGGTTTCCTTGGCTTTCACTGGTTTTTGCTACCATTCATCATGGTATAAGTCAAAAGTATTTTTGACATTACTCAGTGCCATTCATTTTAAAGGCAAAAATCAATCTAGAAGGAAGTTTTGGTGATCATAGGATTCATTATGAGGGAGAGTTGCACTCAAATTAGTTGGCTGCCATCATGCCATAGTCACTATCCCAGATATGATTTAGAATTAAAATTTAGAATTAACCAGATTACTCAAGTCTTTCAACCATATGTCTGAGTTTCTTAGTAAAAATACCAATACAAGTAGATGGAAGTTGACATCAATTCCAAATTTGGCAAATCCTTAAAGGACTTGGGCCCTTGCTCCCATCACTGGCCACTTTTCATATTAAGAAGGTAAAATGTTCTGGCTTGCCTGTTCTGCATCCTAAAACACTATTTCCTATATCTAGGTAGAACTTTTATTGCCTAAGTATTTCTTCAAAGTTTTGCAAACACCCTCAACCTACTCCCTTGCAAGCCTTTTCAACTCCCTGATGCTTCTCCCTGATTCTTTTCATCTTACTTACCTGACCAAATCCCAACTCTGGTTAAATCCAACTCTTGACCTATTTGTATGTCTATACACCTTTGACTAAACACAGTTGGAGTAAAACACATCATCACACTCATAGAAACTAGTGAAATTCACAAACACTAGCCGCAAATGGACCTTAGTGCTGCTCAGCAAACCTGCTGAATTTCCCCTGTCCATCACTGCTCCACTCACTTAGATAACTGTTTCACACTTACCCCTCTCCTCACACCGTCAACACTTCCTCACCTCATTCACTATCCTTGCTCTCACTTGATAACTGTGTTTCCTATTTCACTGAGAAAATAAGAACAATCAGAAGAAACCTTCCACTATATATTTACTTGTTTGTCTGTCACCCTAATTCGGATGTGAGGGATGGAATTTTGTATCTCCAGGACCTCGAATAGTGCCTGCACCATACTGTGTGCTCAATTAGCATTTTTGGTTGGGGGAAAAAATAGATAAATGAGGAGAATAAAATATTCCTGGAAGGGTCATGAAAAGGCTCCTGTTAAGTAACTCTGGTGCCCAAAGCAGAGTCAAAAGTAAATCTACTGTCTCTAAGTCCAATGCTTTAGACCCAAATCATTTTGATATCATGATGTTATCATGAAATCTCATCTGCTGTTGCTCAAAAATTCCATGTTCCCCTTTACTCAACTCAAAAGTTAAAAGATACATCATTTGCCAAGATTTCAAAACATACTTTCCTATATTGCTAGCTTCATAGCAACAGTAGGATGATTACTTAATGGCATAAATATTTTATTTCTATTGAATTTTTCATATTAAATTTACAGCTCGCATGAATAATAGAAAGTAGCTCACACACCCCATTCATGGTTACACTGTGGAATGCTTTCTCAGTAATCTGTTAGGTATTGGAAAGGTGTGGAGGAGTCTCAAAATAAAAGTCTCTTTAAAATAAGCTCTTCCTCTACAAATTCTGGCACCGGAAAGAGAGAGTTTACTCAATGCTTTCACAATGGGGTATAATTTTCCCTATAAATTCTAATTTACGTCTTTTGAGCACACACTTCAAAAATCAAGTAGTCTGAGTTGACTGGAGTTTATTCAAATATGACTTTTTTGTAGAAATGAATAACGAATTGAAAAGATTGTGCCTGACAAAGAGCTCTGTGATTCTGTGTGAAGATGCAGAGACGGAGGTGGAGGCAGATAAATGGAGAGGCATTAATTGAGAAAGAAAAGTCAACCCTCGATAATTAGCACTTCTTCCCCCACCTCATTGTAAAATGCTGCCAACTTTCAGTTTCCCTAAATAGATTGCATAGTTGCTGACACCACCATTAATGTTCAGCAGGTGAAAATTGTGAAAAAGTACTGTACCCTTCTTGACCAACTTCAGCTATGCCACGAAATCACTTAAAGTAAATGAGAGAAAACAATATTCATCAAATAGAAATACAAACAAACATAAATGTTTTTGAGGGGAAAAGACCGTGACATAAAACTTTTTACTCAGTCTTGCTGTCATCATGTAGGAAGGCGAGAGAAATTCACTTGAAGACTATGTTAGGTCACAAACCATATACCAGTCATTTACCTTTTATTTTATAATACATGTATTACTTTAAGATAGAGTCAACTGTTAGGTGTAGGTTTGTCTTACATGTTCCTTAAGTTGAGGAAGTTTCCCTCTAGTCCTACTTTGCTAAGAATTTTTATCATGAATGGGTGTTGGGTTTTGTCAAGTGCTTTGTCTATGCCAACTGATATGATAATATGATTTTTCTTCTTTAGCCTGTTGACATGGTGGATTACAGAGATTGATTTTTGAATGTTGAACCAGCCTTGCTTATGTGTAATAAATCCCACTTGGTTGTCATGTGTAATTCTTTTCATATATCATTGGATTCAATTTTTGTTGAAGATTTTTATATCTATATTCATGAGAAATACTGGTCTGTAATTTTCCTTTCTTGTAATGTCTTTTTCTGGGTTTTGGTATGAGGGTGGTTCTGGCCTCATAGGATGAGTTAGGAGAGTTCTCTCTATTTCTATTTTCTGAAAAAGACTGTGGATTTGCCAATGAAACCATTTACACCTGGTGTTTCCTTATTTTGGAAGTTTATTAATTATTGAATCGTTGATCCAATTTGTTTAATAGATATAGGGTGATACAGGCCACCTATTTCTCCCAGTGTGAGTTGTGATAATTTGTCTTTTTCGAGGAACTGGTCCATTTCATTTAAATTGTCAATTCGGTGGCTATAGAGTTGTTAAAAGTATTCCTCTACAATCTTTAACGTCCATGGAATGTGTTGTCTTGGACTTTCTTTAATTTCTGATATTGGTAATTTGTGTCTTCTCCCTTTTTCTTGGTTTGCCTGGCTGGAGGTTTATTAACTTTAATGATCTTTTCAAAGAACAGCTTTTGGTTGTGGTGATTTTCTCTAATGTTTTCCTGATTTCTAGTTCATTGATTTCTGCTCTAAGGTTTATTATTTCTTGTCTTCAGCTTGCTTTGGCTTAAATTGCTCTTCTTTGTCTAGTTTCCTAAGGTGGAGGCTTGGGTTATTAATTTTATATCTTTCTTCTTTTCTCATGCATGCCTTTAATGTTATACATTTCCCTCTAAGCACTGCTTTTGCTGCATCTAGCAAGCCTGATAAGTTGTACTTTTATTTTCATTTAGTTTGAAATATTTTTTAATTCATTTTAAGGCCTCTCCTTTGACCTGTGGGCTATTTAGAAATGTGTTAATTTCCAAATACTTGGGGATTTTCTATCTATCTTCCTGTTACTGACTTCCAGTTTAACTCCACTGAGGTCTAAGAACATACTTTGTAAAATTTCTATTCTTTTAAATTTGTCAAGGTGTGTTTTTCGGCCAGAATGTGATCTATCTGATGAATGTTCCATATAAGCTTGAGAAGAACAGATATTCTGCTGCTATTGGATAGAGCATCTTGAATTTTAAAACAAATAAGCATTAAACATAAATAATATTAGAAGACTATTCTATTTTTAAATATCATTTAAACTTAACCTAAACTTCCCAGACACTGGGTCTATGAGTAAAGGCAGAGTAAAAGGTAGTATGGGTCCACAAGTGAATACTTTATTCAATCTTTCAGGAGATAGATTAATACACACATTTTCAGAAACATTCACAAATGAATTGTTCTATGTCATACTCTAAATGGTTTGCACATTTTAAAGTTTTCCTCTTGCAATTTGATGTTAACCAGAAATTGAGAGGTATAAAATATATAAACTCATATGCAAGGAATAAACCTAATGCAATTTTTCTATAATTATGATTACATTAGAAAGATTAAAGCTTCTGAGCCAGTTTTTGTTAAGAGGTAATAAAAGGCAATGTTTGCCAAGTGAAAAGAGGAAGACATTTCATTTCCAGTCTCCTAAAAGATTATAAAGAATAACATTTCATTAAAACTTCTTCTAAGGGCATTTGAAATTCTTCATTTATATGACACAAGTTTCAAATTTAAACATAATTGGAGAGAATAAAATGAGAGTAAATTACATAGAAAAAGGGGTAAAAGCACATGCCACTGACTACTGTTTTCCATGGCAGTCTCTCTGAAAATAATAGTCAAGAAGACCCCAGGCAGGCTGTTTGCATTTCACCAGCCACTCTCTTGACGACAAAATTGTTCTTTACATAATCTAGCAACACCTACCCATGAGAGTCTACAGTCCCCAAACAAAGGGTGAATAGTAACCTGAAAAGGTGAACTAATCAAACTCTAGTCAATTCAGCAAAATTCAATCAACTAATGAACTGTGCTCTAACACAACTTCTCCCAAACCATCCTACAAGATGTTATCCTTTTTGTTTTTAAAACTCACCCTGGTAGAAGTCATTTAAATCCCCATTATATTGATTCTAAAGTAGTAATGCTGTATGAAATCTCTTTCCTATGGATTATCTCAATTCCTCTTATTATAATTTAGTTAACCAACTATTATTTCAACTTGCTATTTTCATTTAAACAATATGATTGAAGAAAACTGACTCTGGACAATTACTAGTGTGAATGTGCAGCAAAAGAAGGGCCAGATAGTAAAATTTTGTTTTGCAGTTCAACCAATGGATTTCGTTAAAATAGCAATAATAATATTTTTAAGTGATAACCTAATTCTTGCATGTGGTAATTTCTTCGAAAATTACCTTTTGTTGAATCATCCTCTATTGGCTGTTTGAACAACGTAATATCCTTGAAAGTGCATAGGAACAAGACCACCTTTTCATGTTCATTTCTTATTGGTGCAATTTGCATATAAAACCAAACAGGGGTTCCTGTAAGAGACAGAAAGAACAATAGAGTGTGACATAGCCACAGTAATTATTTGGTCTCTTGCCTTCCCTCTTCCTTCAGCTGCCAACTGCTATGCCAGGAACCAGCACCAAAACAACAGTATTTTAATTGCTTTCAGAATCAAAAAACCTTTAATTTTGTATCAACTGCCAGTTGCTTAAATACTAATAAACATTTTTCAACCCAAAATATCAGAATTTGAAAGTAAAGCACAGGGTGTCATTTCACAGTGCAGGAGAAGAAAGGCAGTCCTGCTTCTTAAGTAACGCCAGCATCACCTTGAGGTCTGGGTCCCTGCACCACTGCCGCTCTCACCAACTTTTCTTTCATAGTCTTACCAAGTGTGACCACTCCTACAAGCTTCTCTCTTCTTGTCACTTTGAGAAGTGTTTCCAATTAACTTCCACAGCAACACCTGATGCTCTGGTAAGTATTCCTCTTGGAGGAACATCTGAAATGCCATTTCTATCTCAAGGCTCTCTCATCAGTCAGACAGACTTATATGATAGCTCTATGGCTTTGACTGCATCCCCATATCAGAGACAGAGGACGTCAGCAACACTTGACGCCTGATGTACAGAGCTCTACCTTAGGCCTGGAAGGCAACCTTAAAGAAAAAACAGACATGGCTCTAGCCCTAGAGAGTTTCAGGCATCTTCACGAGACACTGCTTCCCACCTCTCTCACTCAAAGCCTGAGGCTGGACTCTGTCACCATGTTCTTCAGCGGCTCCTGCAGACTCCAGAGGACAGAGAGGTTCAAAGCATTCAAGCCTTAGGATTTGGACAAAGCAGGAACTGGCATTATGTCAAATAATAAATATTCGAAGACACGAGAAATGCCTTCAAAGGAGTAATTATTCATTAAACGATAAAACACTGAAGGAATGTTCCATCAAAATAAAAAAGACACACTTTCCATCTTGTTCTCTCCGAGCCACAGCGCAGTAAAGCCTCTCCAAAGATTCCATCTTAAAGACACACAGGCTTTATCACGTTTGGGATTGGGGAGTGAAATGTGCAGCTATTAATAGTGTCTAGGTTACAGCTGATAGCCGATTAGTGGCTTCCAGTGAAAACCCAATAAGAAGCACCTCCACATCTGTTGCCAAAATGTCACATGATAATGTCACCACAAAGGGGAATTTGCCATTTAGACAAGATGAGGCGACTTAATTACTGGGTTTCAGAAGCCAGAGAATTAGAGAGAGGAGATTTCTAAGAGAATATTCAGTTCTGACAACCAGGTTCTTTGCAACCCCAGGGGCCTAGGGAAGGACCTGGCCCTTTCCAAAATGATTACAGGATGAGATAGAACCTCACAAACAACCACAGCATCTCCCACAGAGCCTTGTTCTTTGTTTTCTGTTTCTTATTTTACACAGCGTGTCCAGGAACTGTGAGTGATGTGCACAGTTTTACAAATCACCAGACCCAGACGCTGGCAGCTACATGGCCTACGGCTGTTCCAACACAGTGAGCTTGAGGCAATGGGGTCATAAACAGAGAGAAAAGGGCATTAAAAACAAGCTGTTTTCCAAGGTCTGCTAGAAATCTGGACAGAAAGAGATGATGTTACAGTCCGTACCTTCCTAGGAAAACAGTTACTTTTCAAATTTCGGCATAGAGTCAGAGTTGTTTTTAAAATTGCTTTCAGATATCAGAGTGGATTTCTTTTCAAGTTGAGCTACAGGGTCAGACTTTCCAAAGAAGGCGAGTATTTGCTGAGTGGCTGGTGAAATATCCATATTCTGGATTTGGGGTTCAGGGGAGCAGCAAGTCTGGGAGGCTTAGACAGAGTGGCGTGTTGAAGCTGGAACCTGGGAGCAGTGATGTGGCATTGATTCTGCGGAGCAGCCCCTGCTGTCGCAATTCTGCCTTTGTATAGGCAGGAAGAGCCATTTTCAATCATCACCCCAGAGCCACTGTTTATTTCTCAACAGTAGAAACAGCCCCCTGCTAATCAGAGCAATGGGTCTAAAGAACAGAGGCTGCAAACTGAAACGTCAATCATGACAGAGGTTGAATCAGATACCTCAGCACCCCATATGCAAAATGGTGCTTAACCTAATTACTTAAGGGAAGTGTTGGGAGGACTTGGCGTTCAAGCATTCCCAAAAGAGTTTTCTACAGACGTGAATTTTTCTATCTAACATAAAAAGAAGCCACAAGAATACACTTTTTTCAGTTGATGCTCAAGAGACTTCAGCTAGCTATTTACAAGACTTTTCAAAGCTGCTTTTAAGTATAGTAGAACTCCATTAAAATACGTGGATAAAGGGCCGGCCCCATGGCCAAGTGGTTAAGTTCACGTGCTCCGCTTGGGCGGCCAAGGGTTTCACTAGTTCAGATTCTCGGCTCGGACACGGCAACACTCCTCAGGCCATGCTGAGGCAGCGTCCCACATAGGAGAACCAGAAGGACCTACAACTAGAATATACAACTATGTACTGGCGGGTTTTGGGGATAAGTGAAAAAAAAAAAGAGAAAAAGATTGGCGACAGATGTTAGCCCAGGAGCCAATCTTTAAGAAAAAAAATTCGCAGATAATATCCATCCTTCATGTTAAAGAAAAAAACTCAATACAGATACTACACAGAAAAGAGACACAAGTTTTAATCTATAGTGCTATGGGCTGTATTTCCTTCTGGATCTAAGCAGACACCTACATATATATAGATACTTATCTGAAAAGCACCAGTCAGGCCTGAACAAAGGTCAGATAATTATTTCAAGCCACTAAAACAAAGCAAAAAGCTAAAGCACCTTGATAAGAAAGCTTTGGAAATGTAAGATTCAAGTTATTACTAACCTGATTTAAAAGATATAAACAAAACAGAATTTCCACTAAGGTATTTTTGAGAAACTCAGAAACTATGGACTTGGCTTTGATGTTTTAAAATTAGGCAAAGATGGTTGATTCTGTTTAAATGTCAAAGTGAAATGAACTTAGTAATATGGAATAGTCTTAAATTACTTGCTAAACTCAGGGCACATATCTAAGTCATTCAAGGGATAACAACTCTTTTGAAAATGCAAGGGGGTTTTGGTCTATGGGTCTACCACAAATTATCAATATGTATATGAACCTGGTGAAAAAGACCCAGAAAGCACCTCGAACCTGACTTTTCTCTTGTAGAGGGCAGAGCTGATCATTTAGAATGGATTGTTTTCTAGGTGACAAGCCAACAGACATTTGGCTATGACCTCGAAGAGAAATGCCTCTTCAGCCTTGATTCTAAAATGAAAGATAAAATGGCAAGATATTTCTCAGGTAAAACCACTAATGACTAATGCTCCCATTACCAAGGGCCCTACTGTGAAGTAACACCTATGACTGTTGTCATCCCAATGAAGGCCTATCAATAAAAAGAGAAACCTAAGTTCAATTCCAAATACTACATAGAGAACAAGTGCTCGAAGTGAAATAGAATAAATTATGCCCAAGACCCAACAGGCACTAAACATGGAACAAGTGTTTCCTGTTGAAGCTAGAATGCTTCCCAAACTGGGGAAGAATTTCATAACCATCAATTTCCAGTAAAGATAATAATTGGCTTTGCAATCATTTATCATTAATACTAAATAAATTGACCCTTCTTATGAAGCAACTGTTCATTTAAAAAAAAAAAAGCCAATTTGGGAAAGCAGCAAAAGGAAATAAAAGTAAGTGACTATTCCAAGAAAACAAATTAGAAAGGAGACGTGGTTGATGAGTGTATTAGCTGATTTTTTGCTCTGTTGTTTTTTCCTCCAAACTCTGATGGAGAATCCCTATCATGAGGTCTTATGTGATTATATAATGGATAACTGACCATTCACAAATCCCATCCTAGAGAACAGCTCACAACAATCAATATAAATTTACCAGAAGTGAATGGCCTGTTCTGAAAGTAATGACGACTTCCCCTAGCCTGCAGCACAAAACAGTCTGAGCCTAGTAAAGGGCCATCTTGGTAGAGATTCAACTCGAGTGGATACCGTATGTTCACATGTTATCTATGCATCTGTAGAAGGGTAATCACACATACCCAGTGATACCCATCGCCTTCTCCTTCGACCGTAAGACGAAATGAATAAATTTCTCTGTTATTTTTAGGTGCTGTCACCTAACTATAGCATCTTTACCATGAATATTAATTGCAAAACATTTTGCCACCTGACACAGAAAAAAAAAATCTCATTTAAAATGCACCATATTTTTCTGCCATTCCTCAAAAGGTTGCTTTTCATAGGGAGAGCCATTTATTAATTTTTCTATCTAATTTTACCAGCATCCTGTTTTCAATAAGATAAGGAGCAAAGTTTTATATTCTCACTACACTATAGCTCGACTACCACTTACCAAAAGATAACATTAATAAAGAGTTGGCATATCTTTTTGATAATTTAGATACCTACTGTTTTTCTTGTACAGAAGAACTTCAAAGCAGTTTGACTCGTAGTTGTCAAACGTTTGCCTGACTTTCTCAATGGTCTTCTTGTCAGTCAATTCCCCGTACATGAAACTGGAAAAAAAACAAACAATCCATTTCAGTTTTGTGTTGCTTTTCAAACACTACATAAAATCATATGATTGTCTTTGTTTAAGTACTCAAATTTAGTTACAAAATATAATGCTGCTTCCACAAAATGAACTAAAATACTTAAACCATTTTTTAACAATGATTGCTAAACTTCTTGCTAAAAGCTAGCTTTAGAAGTTATTTCAAACGTGCAGAGAGAGAGAGGAGAGACAGAAAGAAGTAGTCCTCGCTTTACACAGGTCCTAGGTGTCCAGATGTCAATTACCATGGTTTAGTTAAATAACATCAGTTTCCCAAGGGCACCATTCAAATATCAGTTACCATAGAATATTAACTGTGAATAACTGCATAAAGTACAAACTTCACTGCTTGCTCTTCAGTCTACAAATCACTAGTAAATAAGATAACAGATCGGGGCTGGCCCCATGGCCGAGTGGTTAAGTTCGCGCGCTCCGCTGCAGGTGGCCCAGTGTTTCATTAGTTCGAATCCTGGGCGTGGACATGGCACTGCTCATCAGACCACGCTGAGGCAGCGTCCCACATGCCACAACTAGAAGAACCTACAACGAAGAATACACAACTATGTACCGGGGGACTTTGGGGAGAAAAAGGAAAAAATAAAATCTTGAAAAAAAAAAAAAGATAACAGATCACGATCAGTAACCAATCACCTCACTTCCTTCAAAGCCTGTCAGTACTGGTCACTGTACGTCTGTCATTCAGTTCATGCACAGAAGCAAAGCATGTAGTTGTGTCGCCTCCTTGTCTCTCAGTGATAAACCCACATGATGTTTTACAAAAACGAATAATCAAAAGCAGAAATTAGCCATCAAAGACTAAAGTTCACCAAAGAAATGCAAAATGATAATGCTGGCAGTGAAATTCAAGTTGAACATAAATGCAGTTACAGAAAAAATATATGACTGTGGGAATGATGACACTGCTGCCATTTGAGAGACTCCAGAAACGCAGCCAGAAGAACTTAGTGAGAGTGAACTTATCAACATAAATTAGGAAAGTGATTGTGACTAGAAGGATCAAGGTTTCCCAGTGGATGTGATATCAACACAAAAGAGCTTCATGTTAAAGGAACCCTAGGAGATAGGTCACAATAGTGGAAGTGGAAGGATAAAAGAGTTGAAGTTGATTCAAACTTAGAAAGGAGTATGACCACTTGCTACAAGATAGAAAAAAATGCTCTCCTCAGGTAAGTTATATTATGTTAAGGCAAGTATTGTTCAAATGATTCATGATAGCCTTTTACAGAGAAATAAAACATTTTAATTAACATTTCTAATGTCCTTAATCACAGTGTACTCAATAAATATTAGCTTTACTATTATTTTCATTTCCCTGCATTTATAACCAACAGTAAAAGAATTTTTAATATTTTAACAAAGATTGTTAAAGGTCATACAACAATCACAATTTTTTCCTTTGAGTATTAAGATTGCATTACATGGTTTCAGTTCCCATGGTTTTTTCTATGCTCCCATAATACAGTGAAATGTGAAGACTCCATATTACACACATAACGCACTGGCATTCTCATCATTTATGAGGATTTCTTTAAGGTACATACAAGTATGGCTAATGTGAGGGAAACAAAGGTGACAAATTGAAGAAAACATACACTATTACCAGGGCTAGAGGAACATACAAACCAAAACATAGATTAGAGAATGAGCTTCTATATCCCACAAAAATTTCCTCATGTTTGAAATTCTGTTTTTCTAAGACAACCCCACCAAAAGTCTGATAACCTACATAACAGAACTCAATCAAGGACTACAAACCTCTAAAACTTCATTCTTGATGCTTTCACAATCATCAGTTGTGCATCTGGTTTTAGATACATAGTTCTACTAGTTCGTATAATTGTCTAGATCATTTCTTCCCCCAGGAAGGAGCATGTGGCCCTGTTAGACACCTTGAGTAAATTTTTGAAGACCCAAACGTCTCTTTATTATTGCTTTCTTCCAGTTTTCAATGAGTTAGCATATTGGCCAGAGGTAATTCCAAGTATAGTGGGGCCAAAACTTGTACTATTTTAGGGACCCTCTTTAAAGAAAAGAATACAAAATTATAAAACAAAATTAGGCACAGAGCCTTGAAAGACCCCTACTCAAGCGGGGGCCCCTGAAGGTTAAGATTCATTGTCCTCAGGGGAAATCTGTCCCTGAATGTAGCAATCCAGAAAATTTACAACGCAAAACGCCTAATTCGTTAACAAGATCCAGCAAAGACTAGCCGGATCCAACAGCAATGCCAAAGCACAACTAGGTATCACAGAGCAACTCAGGCTCATTTTAGGCTAACAGGAATCTAGGCAACCAGAATTCTAGAAACCAAGAAATGTAAGGAAGTAGATGAGGCAGACCAAAGTTTGCCCAAGCACCGAGAGGTCTGAACCCTGCACTTTCAATTAAAGTATTTCTTTTATAAAAAGGATACTTTTAATTGTCATAATAGTAAAATAAGCAAGAGAATCTCAGAATAAAATGACAGATTCTAACTCAATAATCTTACAGCTAGACTAACACATGAAGCTTCAGAGCCTGCCTTTAAGACAGCATTAAAAAGCCACCGTTCCTGTCAAAGCCTGGATTTCAGCTCATGTGAGTTTCATGAAAATCTCTTGAAGGCATTACAATTAAATTAAAATTTCTCAGTCGAAGAGCATAAAGGCAAAAAAATAAAAAATTTTGTTTTCCACTAAATATCCTCCAAAAAATAAAACAGCTTAACACTATTAATAATAATTTTACAGACAGGTGAACTTTTTTATTAACGATTTTTTTATTAACTGTTATTTTTAATCTTGAGACTCTTTAATAAAGAGAAAACATTAAAAAAACAAAAAAATTAAGATAAGAGTAAATGAGCTAATTAATTGTGGTCATTAGAAAAGGAAAAGAAATGCCATTATACTCCTGTTACTGAATGTCAGAATTCTATAGTTCAATAAACTGAAATACAATATTCACAACTGGCCAACAGAAAAACATAAAAAGAGAAAGCATCTATATATATATAACATAACAAGCAACTAGGATAAAAATTATGAAAAATAAATTCTAATAGGATTAAAAATTAAGTTACAACTCAAATCAGAAAAGAAGAAACTGCTTTGGAAATTGTTGTAATACCACTTAAGAAGAAATACAATACAGGTCTGATTCAGCTAAAAATTGCCTGTCCTAATAATATAAAGGCACTTTAAGAAAGAATCCCAGATTATTAAAATCTGAATACATTTTTTAAAAGTCTTTTATTTCTTACATTGTTTCACTTCTATTTTTCATTTTAAGTTTATTAAGCCCCATATTTCTAGAGACAGAATATATATTTGAAGTAGTGAAATGCAGCAGTTAAATAATAAAAGATACTTCAAAAGAAACTATGAAGAATGTCTGAAATGTACTAGCCATGCTTCCAAACCAAGTGTTCTGAAGGTTAATTAAAACTAGCAAAGTATTTCCATCTAAAGTTATCCAAACCATACTTACTAAATCAATTGTTCCATGTACTCGGTGCATATGGCACATTTGTTACTTTGCTTGACTTTTTTATGTGTAAATATTGAATATCTTTATCGAGGTTTCCCTCAGCCTGACTTCACATGGCTGAAGCTCAATGCAGTCTTTGAACGGTTAATGGAATGTGAGGGGATTCAAGCTTTAGAAATGCTAATCATCAGGCTTTAGAAACTACATATAATAATTTTATGCAGTTTTTATGTCTCTTATTGAATATCCTCCAGGAATACATAATGGGCTTATAAAAAAAATTATAGAACATCAAATTGCCCTCTTAGACAGAACTCCAAGCTCCCCTTCAGAAATTATAAATGACTTCTATAACTGCACTGTTATTTTATTGGAAGGAAAATAAAATTAGATGTACAGAAGCAATCCATCTCTGCTATAACATTGAGCAGTCATGATATAACAGAGGAGACTGCACTTGGAAGACCACTTACAAACTGTGTAACTCACGGGCAAGGCATATAGCCTCTCTGCTTAACTCTTACTTTGCTCCTCAGCAAAATGATGGGACTGTTAACATAACTCAGAGTGTGAGGATTCAAAGGATGATGCACACGAAGTTGCAGGTTAGAATGTGTTGTACAATGGCTGAGTTATTACTGGAAGCCTTCTTATGAGTAGGCTTCAAAGAAGGCCCCTCCAGCCCAAACCCCACTCCCTGGCTTCTCCACAATTCTAGGACGGGGTTTGGGGATGTTTGCTAAGGAGCAGGGTCATTGAGTCTTAAAGGGAGACGCACATCATTTGTGTCTTCCTTCTCTGTGAGGCCATGAAGTTGTAGCTTAAACTCACCCAGGGCCTGCTCCTGGGTAATCTGGCCACTTCTCTTGCCACACAACTAACTGGCGGTAAGATCTGGTCTTGGGAGTAAGGGAGGAGTTTCCCTCAGGCCTGGCCTAGGCCATATCCAGCATGCCTGAGCATTTGGCCGTATATCTTTTGTGTCTATTCTGCTCTAGGAAACTTCTGGGGACAGGCGGCTTTGGTTGATAGCAGGATTTACTTATTCCTGGATCCCTTGTGCTGCCAACAAAATTTCACAAACAAGCCTCATCAGGATACCTAACAGTAAAGATGGCTATAGTGTTGATGGACTTCCAAGGGAGAAAGGAAGCTTAGAAACTGAAGAAAAAAAACAGAACCTAATCATGAGTTCTGCCAATCTATCTTAATCTGCTAATGTTCGACAATGTTCTAGGACTAAAACACTACAAACGTTGAGTGGCCATTAGTAAAGGATAATATCATCCAGAGGCTGTAGTTCACAGACTACAAGCATTTCATCACAGAAACCACATAGACGGACTTAATGCAGTTGGCAAATGTGGTCTCCAGCTCAGAATCAGCCACAAGAGTAAAATCATCACAAGTTAATGGGAGGACGGGATGAGATCTGTAGTCAAAGGACCAAAAAAGAAGAAGCCTGAAAGAAAG